TGCATCTCAAACAGAGGTGTGTATCGCAAACAAGGGTGTGTATCGCAAACAAAGGTATACATCTCAAAGAAAGGTACATATCTCAAATACATAAATGATGGGAGTGATAGCTATAAATAGGCTCAAACATAAATCAATAGGTCCAGGTCGGTCATAGCAGAGTCAGAGTCATCAATATTCACGTCATCGTCCAAGATCAAGTCATCAATATTTCATCCAGGTCAATTTTGAGCCATCGGGTCTGAAACTAGGTCGTCAATATCACCAAGTGTCTTTCAGACCGAGTGTCAATATCTGAGTTATTAATATTCAAGTCACTCATCAATGTATGATCAATACTGAGATCTGATCAATGGGTCAGATCAGTTTGGCTGAAAGTCTCACATGTTCTTCTCCTTGCCTTCAATCAGTGAGAGGAAAACACACAACACAACCCTGTACTTCTATACTAGTGAGGACCTTTATTGACGTGAGGCAACCCCAAACCCCTGATCCTTAATCCCTAATCCTTAACACTAAAACCCAAACCCCTAACTCATAATCTCGAAACCCTAATCCCTAACCATGAACCCAAAACCCAAACCTATAAACCCTAATCCCTGAACCAAAAACCTTGAACCATTAACCCCTAACCAATAATCCCTATCCCCTAATCCTTAACCCTTGATCGCTAACACCTAAACCCCAAACCCTAATCCCTGACCTGACCGTAACCTCAACCTTAAAACTTCTGTCTCTGAACCCTCAGTTTGTCATCAGTCTATTCAAACCTTGTTATTGAAGAAGTGAGACAGATGTTGTGTATTTGGTGTCTAAAGGCCGGTACTCTGGTTAAAAGTAAAAAAATCCTTTAATGATGAATAGAAAACCAACAAGTTTCTCTCAAAAAGTCTTCATCAGGGTATAAACAGCAATGAAGACTAATATTCAAATCAAAACTCACCAAGGTCAAGTGATGTGTGTCACATGTCATGTTAATATTTAAAGACAATATACGACAGTGGAATAAAAGAAGAACTGGAACAAACTACAGCCGAGATACAAACAAAACTACAGCCAAGATACAAACAAAACTACAGCCAAGATACAAACAAACGTACAGCCAAGATACAAACAAAACTACAGCCAAGATACAAACAAACGTACAGCCAAGATACAAACAAAACTACAACCAAGATACACACAAAACTACATCCATAATATAAACTCATATAATTAAGAGCGATAATGAATCACAAATAGATGAGCTATGGTCAGGGACAATGAAAATAACAAAATATGTTCCAACATACACTGTTATAACTTTACATATGAAATGGCCAAGAAATTGAGGTATACAATAAAAAATAATAAATTAAGGACAATCTGACAATTCTAGTAATGTGAATACACATAAACCTCAAAGGGCCTCATAATGGATCAAAGACATGATGGCACCAATAACGTCAAATACTATGAGGAAGGTATGAATATAATAATAACAATAATATAATAATAATGTTATACACAGACAGACCCAGGTGAAGACCGCCCAACATGTCCTCCCTTTATAAACTGTCCTGACTCTCAAAGGTTTAAAACTCTTCTTCTGAGCAGGTACACACACACACACACACACACAGTAACAGGAGTCGACTCATTGCACCTGTCTGGTCATGTGACATCTCACTGTCTCTCCCACTCTCTCTCTCTCTCACCTGTACTTCATGTTGCTATGACGACCGAGGGCCTCCTTCATGTGGGCGTGGCCTAAGAGGGTGTGTCTATTCGCCGGCTCCGCCCTGACCTTTGTCTGACAGGCGGGGGCGCTGCTGGTGTTCATCGCTACCCGCCTCTCCTTCATTGGGTGCTCGTTGGCCCCGCCTCCTCCGCCCCCCCCCACATTACACGCTATGGACACCTGCATCCTGGTCGCTACGGTTAACAGGCCTTATATATACATATATAAATAACTATATATATGCTGTATATATATATAACAAGCTTTAAAGTCTCAAAACATCGTCAGGAAACCGCCGCTGCCGCCAAGGTCGCCGGTCGATATAGTGACGATGGACAGAATTCATGAGTTGGAAGTTTAACTTCTGATCAATACGATGCACACGCTACAACTTTCTGTTAGTCTCCGACATCCCGTCGTCGGCCCGACACACTGTCCCACCGCCGGAGCTCTGAGGAGGAGGAGGATGAGGTGATGAAGATGATGATGAACAGCGTCCGTCTGTCCACAGGAGAGAAAAAGAAACAGACGGAAGGAAAGCAACAAGAAGAGAATATCTAAAATAAAAACAAGCCAGTGTCCGTCCTCTGGATTCTACTGAGAGGTAGAGAGACAGGGAGGGAGAGGGAGGGAGGGGTGGCTCCTCCCCCTCCCCCTCCCGTCTCGGTCGGCTGCACACTTGGCGAGCGAGCATTCAACTGACAGAGAGAGAGAGACACACAGCAGCTCTGTACACAGTGCAGGAAACTATAGTAATGTTACAGCTATAAGTTCATGTGACTTTATTAAGATTCTATATTAAATCATAATGTACTGACTTGGTTTTACTGCCTGTGAGGCTCAGTGTGGGGCAAGAAAACACCCATAATCCGTGTGCTATGGAAGCCACAATACAAACTAAACTACAGCCACAATACAAACTAAACTACAGCCACAATACAAACTAAACTACAGCCAAAATACGAACTAAACTCAGGTTTATAGTTAGGACTGGTTCAGGTTTATAGTTAGGGCTGGCTCAGGTTTGCCTTGGACCAGCCCCTAGATATGCTGTTATAGGCCCAGACTGTTGGAGGACTTTTATCTGGACCCTGGTCCTGCCTGACACCCACTGCTACTATCATTATTATGAGTCACATTTATATTACTATTACTGATACCATTACTGCTGTTATTATCATAAGTATTCTACTATGTCCACTGCTGCTGTAATTAATAGTAGTCATGTTTCCATCATTGTTATACTTAATAATCTCATTATATGAATAATTTCTGTCATATGCATTGAATGTGTTTTAACTGTTATGTTGTTAATTCTGTAGCCTTCTGAGAGAATTTTGTTGTTTGTGATTTTGTACTATACAAAATAAATTTAAGTGTTAATTTACACCACTGATGTATAAAAAGAATGTTTCCCGGCTGTTATTTTGTCCGTCTGTATGTTATGTGGAAGCTTCTTGCAGATAATCTGAAGCTGAGGACAGAGAAGAAGAAGTGTTTCAGAGCCTCCCCCACTCTTCTTGTCCCTCTTCTTCTCTCCACATGTAGCACACAACATTAGAGCTGAACACAGAGAGACACCTGAGGCTGAAGGTATGCTGTCACTAATGTGGATTACAAGAGTAGCTGCACAGAGTCATTGCTCTGATATGTGTCTGACTGGTGCTTCTATTTCCACACTTTGTATTGTTTGAGTTTCCATTATCCAAGATACGAACCAAACTACAGTTACCAGCTGATGTCACTCACAGACACAGTTGTAATGTGTTAATACTGTGTTTGAATGTACTAATACTGTACTGTTATATAGTGCTGGTGGAGAGTGGAGATGCTGATTCAGCCTTCATTCTGGTCTGCACAAACACACACACAGAGCTGATGAACAACTGGAGCAAACAGTCAAATACAACATCAGAACCATGAGTCAGCAGACTCAGGAGCCAATCCGAATCCTTGGGATTGTACAGCAGTATATACATATATACTGTATATATACAGTATATACATGTGTGTGTGTAAGAGAGAGAGCATATAATATAATGTTATTGGTAGAACTGAAATAAGAAAATAAGAAAGGTTTTGTCAACAATGGTATTGACTGCAAACTGTAAAGTATAAAATAATATAATAACTTAAGAAATAATTATATAAAGTAACATGAGGCTCTCTATGTTAATGAAGTATACACAGAATCTCAACATCTAGTGGTCAGACAGGGTAATTACACCTTCACCAAACAGTCTGTAAACTCCAAATCAGACCAGATACAAGTCAACCAAACTACAACCAAGATACAAACAAAACTACAACCAAGATACAAACAAAACTACAACCAAGATACGAACAAAACTACAACTAAGATACAAACAAAACTACAACCAAGATACAAACAAAACTACAGCCAAGATAC